GCACGAGGGGCCCGATTCCCGCACGTACAGCCCGTACGGGGGTATAGGGGCCCGTACGTACGGTCGTACGTACTTTTGTACGGCCCGTATACGTACGGGCGTATACACAGCACAAAAGTTCTTGCACAATTTGTGGATGGCGCTTTGTGACCAGCGGAATACCAAATCGCCATTTCTCCAGACGGCCACCTCCTTGTCCCATCTGAAAAGGTACAGCAGTGCGACCCGAACGGTGCCCACAACCTCAAAGCGGCCCTTCCCAAACTGCATATTTTGCGGAATTGGGGTCCCAGTGTGAGTAATAATATGCCCTTAGTTGGAAGCGGGGTTCGTTATACGGCTGCTTCAGTTTTCATGGTGGTCATTGGTCGAGTGTTCAGCCATGACTCTGGTGATTCTGGTCTTGCACCCATAATAATTTCCAAACAAGTTTGGGGTGATCGTGAAGATCCGACAATTTGACGACCTTCAGGCTTTCAGCAATGAAGCCTGGGTGGGTCAGACGCCCGTGTTTTTCTCCGTTTTTTTTTTCCCTGCGCTCTCCTAGAGGACCCCAAATCCAGTCTCTGTCCTTTTTTTGAGAGTTGTCAATCCAGCTATGTTGCTTGTAACTTGTGTGGACTGTGCACCCAACCTATGGAGTCTGCCAATCACCACTCACCCTCCTAAATCCAACACATCACTTTGCACCACCACTGAAGCCCAGCTGCAGATGATGTGTCTAGTCAGCAGGGGAGCGCAGATCCCAGGATGACGAAGAAGAACACCAACTCAATGAAGATGAAGGACTTCCACATCGAAGAAGATTTCAAAGAGCTGCTTTGTGGAAGCTGCCCAAACCCCAACAACACACTAGTATGAGGAAGCGCTCATCAGGACTTGGGTGCCCAGCCCAGGTTTGTCACCAATGGAGCCGGCCAGCCCCAGCTATGGCTGCCAGCCGCATGTGGAGAAGATGCCATGCGTACATGCCCACAATAGCACATCAGGGAGGCAACACGACATCCACCAAACCGTGGAAAGAGAAAGCCACGAAAAGTCCCGAACCACCTCGCAGCTAAGTTCTAACATATTTCAGAACCTCGGCCTCCACCTCAGCCTAGGACAGACTGGAAAGCAAAACCTACGGGCCTACTCATCAGGCAGCAGAAAAGGACAAAAGGGACCTAAAGCTACCAGGTCAGTGAGAAGTATCGTTACGGGACAGGTCAAGGGATCAAGTCCCATGGGCCTCAAAACGAATAAAATTACCAAATCCTAACTAGTTATTGTACAGCCCCGCTGGGAAACTGTGATTTATTGCATTCTTACCCTCGCGGGGAGCAAGGACCCACAAGCTACTCAACCAACCACCAGCCAACATGGTGGGAAAGACATTTAACTGCAGGATCACTAAGCTTCCATGGTTGTGGGGAATGCGATGATGATCCCAGAGGCTCAGAGGGTTTGTTTGTGCTGTGAGCCAGGTACTAGGTTCCTTTTCTGCTGATGAGAGTGCAATTATAACTCCTTTTTGTGACTCCCTCGTAGATACCTTTATTTTTCCCAAATCAATCAACCAATCAATCAATCAATCAACCAACCAACCAATCAACACAATCAATCAATCAATCAACCAACCAACCAATCAATACAATCAATCAATCGATCAATCAATTGAAATCCCCTCAAACCGATAGATTCGATAGGATGTTGATCAAGATCCTATCGAATCAATCAATTCGACGGGATCCCGGTTGATTGATTGGATGAGTGGGGTTGGGGGGAAGCAGAGAGGGAAGCAGAGAGGGAAGCAGAGAGGGGAGCGGAAATTAGGACGTCGGCAAGCATGGAGAGAGCGTAGAGATTGCGACGTTGTCGAGGGAGGATGTGGCATAAGAGGAAAGGGACGATGAAGATGAAGAGTAGGTACCGTAGTCATTTGTGGTGCCTGTTCTTCCTTTACTATCAACGTTCTATTTGTCGGGGGAGTTTGATGCGCATGCTCAATGTCGTCCATCATGTCAATGGTTATATTTGGAATGCTCAGCTAGGTCTTCCATGTGTTCATACGTCCCATCCTCATAATGTATGTCCTCTCTGTCATCAAGGGGATTCAAGGACAGATTGATTCTTGAGCCTTCTTTTTATCTTTTCCAACATTTTCATATTGATTCCACACTCCATGGAATTAAATTTTCTCCTTATTCCTTGTTCTTTGTCTTTGCTTTCCCTTTCAAATTGTCTCCCTTTGCTTTGTCTTCTTTCCATATCCTCTCTAGGTTTAGCACCTTGAAGTCACTCTTTGCATTGCCTCTTTGTTACAGCGTACAAGTGCGTACTAATTGCACACGGGGATGTGGGCAGCTTATTAACTTCATCAACATGGCCAGCCTTGTCCGTGAGAGGCACAATTAAGGGGGAGCTTAAAGAAAAGATGATTGAAAGAATGGTTTCATTGTCACAGCGCTCGTCATGTGTATCTTCTGTATTTTCATCATTTGCTTCGCAAGGTGCACTCTTTTAGTTGATATATGTGTGACGATATATATTGCTACTTTGTTTGTTACTTCACCAACTGACCCATCTCACACTGCACTTTCACCAACACCCGTTGACTCTCATGCTGCACCCCTTCTACCAACACCCCCTCATTCTATAACTCTTTTGCCAACATCTTCGATTAGGCCATTTGTTGTTGATCTTCGTTCCAGTCCCCAACCCATAACTCATACCTCACTGCGTTGCCTTCTCACTTAAATTGCTTAGGGTAACTAGTGCGTTTGGTGTCGTGTCAAGCCTGATATTGAGCAAGCAACACCCAAACTTGAATGGCGGGTGCGGCTTTTGGAATAGCTTAACAACAATGTTTCAAATCCAGACATGATAACAAATTTTCGAGAACTTGAATGCCTCATCCAAAAATCCCTGCATACCCACCAAAATTTTTACACAGCTCAACGGTGTGCCCCCTTTACTAACGACATCAAGATCGTACATACATATGCGTGATGTAGTTCATGTCACGGTAGCGAACTTGTATCATGTCTTGCAACTGTTCGCAGTACTTGCATTGCCCCCAAACGTCAAGCAAACATACATTTTCATGTTTGCCCCTCGATCCATCTCACAGTGCGCCCCTCTTACCAACACTCATTGACTTCCATGATACACCCCTTTTACCAGTGCCCCCTCATTTTGTACCTCTCTCGCCAACATATTTTGCGAGGCCATTTGGTGTTGATCTTCATCCCAGTTCCCAACTCATAATTCAAATTCAAATGTCACCGGATTAGATTTGCCTTCTGATTAAAGCTGCTTCTGATAATCGGTATCGTATCAAGGCTGATATTGAGCAAGCAACACCAGCATGGTGAGTGTGCCTTTGGCAATGACTTTACAACAATGTTTTCAATGTGGACATAAAAGCAAATAATATTCGAAAATTTGAATGCCCCATGCGAAAATCCCAGCCAACATTACACAGGTCGACCTCGTGACCCATTTACTAACCACATCAAGGTTATACATGCGCATGAGGTAGTTCATGCAACGAAATTGTGCCATGTGTTACGATTGGCATCGGTGGTTGTATTGCAACCCGACCCTCAAGCAACTACAAATGTTTGTGTTTATGACCTTGACACGTGTTCTAACTTCACTAAAATGCCCTTCAATGTTAGTGTCGGCT